GTCTGTTGGTTAGCCAGAACTGATAGGTTCAGGGTCTGTGCTTCAAGTTAATGGTTCTGGGTGAACCAAACTGTATGCATGTATGAGTGAGAGTAAGCCACGTTACTTTATCTTATTCACCTGATTGTTTATTTTTCCCTGTGTGTGTATTTAAATAAACCTTATTCTTTTTATTGTTCAAAAATCCATCCCTGGTCTGTGTGACTTCTTACAGGGAATGGTTGGTGGCAGCTTAGTAACTGTGTGACATATCCCAGTAGGTCTGGGTTTGTCACACACACGTTTTCTCAATAGTTTTTATCCCAGAGCTATAATTGCAATTAATAATGAGCTTAAAGACCACCAGTGGTGAATAATTAGTTGGACTGTGTTACTTGGCCTGAGGTGTAGATGTTTGTATTTTTAGTGGGGGACTTTTAGTGGGTGGGGAGTGTTTGGGAATTTTATGTGTGTGCATGTGTCTGGTCTCTGGGTGTCTGTGAATTTCGTTGTATGTGTATATACTTACAATGACAATAAATTATTATTATTATTATACTCACTATAAAACCTTAATAGGGTTTTCAAGGTAAGTGGGATAATTTGGAAGTGATTTTACCATTGCTAATCACCAGTGAGTTCCATGGCTGAATAGGGATTCAAACCCAGAACTTTAAACCTAGATCAAAGGTTTTTAACAGGCCTTGGTAGTGACAGGTGCAGAATTGAATAGTGCTTGTTATGAATGGTTAAAAAGTGTTGTATGGTGGATATCTTTGGAATAAGCAATAGAAGGTATAGGAAGAGGAATTCAGAATAGGTGTAGATTGATAGAGAGGAGAATAAAGATGAAGTAAAAGCAAATTATCTAAATTCTTATCCAGTGGAGACAATTTAAACAGACCTACATATGATATGGAGGTAGTGACAGATTTTACTTTCCTGGGCTCCGTGATCACTGCAGATGGTGACAGCAGCCATGAAATAAAAAGACGCCTGCTTCTTGAGATGAAAGCAATGACAAACCTGGACAACATCTTAAAAAACAGAGACATCATCTTGCTGACAAAGTTCCGCATAGTCAAAGCTATGGTTTTTCCAGTAGCAATATATGGAAGTGAGATTTGGACCATAAAGAAGGCTGACCGCCGAAGAACTGATGCTTTTGAATTGTGGTGCTGGAAGAGACGCTTGAGAGTCCCCTGGACTGCAAGGAGAACAAACCTATCCATTCTTAAAGAAACCAACCCTGAGTGCTCACTAGAAGTACAGATCCTGAAACTGAAGCTTCAATACTTTGGCCATCTCATGAGAAGTGAAGACTCCCTGGAAAAGACCCTGATGTTGGGAAAATGTGAAGGCAAGAGGAGAAGGACATGTCAGAATACAAGATGGTTGGACAGTGTCATCGAAGCTACCAACATGAATTTGACCCAATTCTGGGAGGCAGTGGAAGACAGGAAGGCATGGCGTCCTGTCTGGTCCATGGAGTCATGAAGAGTCGGACACCACTTAATGACTAAACAACAACAACACATATGTATTTTAACTAGATGTACATAGTTTGTCTCGTTAACATACAGAAAACAAAACAAAAATCCCCCTCTCCTCCTTCTGGTAGAAAGCATTCAGTTTCTTTTTATTTTTTTCTAAGAGGTATAGCACATCAGCACTGCCTTTCTAGGCTTTAAAAAAACCACACCTTTACTTCCTGCCTGCTTCAGCCATAACAATCATGGGAAACTGATTTGTTTTGATCCCTGCAATCACGTGTGTTGGAACTGAACCAAAATGTAGTGATCCTTCCCACACCTAAAAAAACAGTACCCCCTGAAAAGGAGCCCCAAAATGTGTAGAAAGGAACACCCTGGTGAGGGGCTGATTCATGCTGGCTCTTACATGTGATCACAGGAGAAAGGAGTGGACCAGCCTATTCCCAGAGTAGACCAAACAGTGGGACAAATCCCTATCTAGTCGCATCATAGTGAGATGAAAAGCCTCTGTCCCTGTTCAAGCCAAGACTGGTGTGAGTGAGTTGATTCTCCTGATATATTCTTGTTCAGTTAATTTCCTGTTAAATCTGACCTCAATTTTTTTTTGTCTAAGGGTGCCTGTGTTTGGGCCAGAATGTTCTGGAAGATTGTAGCACATTAGAAACAACAACGTTAAGAATCCAAAGGAGGAAGATTTTCATTGTCCAATAAAAAGTGCCACGATACTTGTACTTTAACTATCTTTGAATGTATTTCCTCATTTATAAAAAATCATTTATAAATGAATTTTACACTTGGAAAAGTTAACTTTTTTGAATATAACTTTTATAATCCCCTAGCCAACATGAACAGAGACCAAGAACTGACTTTTCCAAGTTTTGATTAATTTCCCATCTTGAGAATGTATATATCTACTAGTTAGTTGGTTGTATTATTAGGTTTTAGTAAGTATATTATTATATTGTATTTTATCATTTTTTGTAAGCCACCCCGAATAGACTTTGTCTAGAGAGGTGGGGTATAAGTCTAAATAAAGTAAAGTAAAAGTAAAGTTTTGCTATTTAGTCAAAAAAGTAACGGATTTTATACACATCTTGGTGTCTTTTTTTAAAGCCAAGAACTGCGTAATAAACCCTGTGAAGAATCCATCATTCATCTAGGACATTGGTCTCCAAACTCAAGCCCGTGGGCCACATCCGGCCCACCTTGCCTTTTTATCCGGCTCAGGCATAGGAAAAGGAGGGAAGGGGGACTGAAGTGATGCCCATCCCCACTGTCTTTACATAGACAGCAGGAGTGGGGGATTGTTTGGGTCCCCTTTTCCTCCTTTGGCCCTCGAAAATGTGTAAAATATATGAAGTGGCCCTCATACTGAAAAGTTTGGAGACCTCTGATCTACAAGGTGCAAATTATGTCAGTTTTGCTTCTAAATGTGGATCAAATGAAATTTTCAAGTACTCCTAGTGCTGCACAATACATTTGTTTTTGTTTCTGTTCCACACAGCCCACACACTGGGATACAGGCATATGAAACAGATGTACCCAAGATTCCGACTGCTTGCATTTCGGTGGAAGATGCTGAGTTAATGGCCCGAATGTCTTCCCGGGGCACCAAAATTGTTGTGACTCTGAAGATGGGAGCCAAAACGTATCCTGATGCTGATTCCTTCAACATAGTTGCAGAAATCATTGGCAGTAAATACCCTGAGCAGGTGAGTGATGCTTTGCTTGTTTCATGTTTGGAGATAATTTTAAACATCATTGAGATTATCTCGTCTCAAGCTTCCAAATCAGTGTAGTATCTCAAGGTCTGATGCTAATTTTAAAGAAACAAAGTCACATAATTATGTAGAATGCATACTGTACTGAAATACTGTCCTCCCTTGTTATTTGTTGCACAAACACTGAAATGGAGAACTATTTTAACACAGGACTGACCTACCATTAAGCAGAGTAAGGTAGCCACCTCTGGTATCAGATGCTAATAGACATGGAAGGGAAAGACTTCTATGTGGCACGTGACCTGCCGGAACCCCTTAAACTCCCTGCCTGCCACTCTCAGATAATGTTCAGGATTCTGTCCTTTTGTCAAGGGGAAGATGAAATACAACTACCAGCTTGGCTGGCTTTTGTACATGGAAACGGATGCCATATTTGATCCTTTAGGCAGCAAAATGTTTCTGGTTTGCACTTTCACACCAATATACTCATTATAGATGTATTATTTAACTATATTGTTATTTTTAGCACACAAAGCACCACTAAAAGTAGATGACAGATAAGGGAAATGCATGCTAAAAAAGAACAAGGAAAATATAGTAGTTAATCCAATAAAACATTAAAACATAGTACTCAATGATCATTCCTTTCTTTGTTTCTAAAGTGATGTGGTAGTTAAGTATCTTAATGTCCAACAATGTGTGTGTTCATGACAGGAAAATGTTTATTCCACAAATACAGAAGATCTATATGACTCCTTTTTAAATGTTAGAAGGAACTGTAAGAAGATAACTTTTTTATACTTTCTACACTGCACTGTAACTAGTTAACTCTACTAACTTTACTTGCAAAATGAGGACTAATATGTTTTCCAAATGTGTAACGCATTTAATATCTAATGAAGATGCATTACAACGACATGTCGTCATGTAATAAATACAGGACTACCTTATTCCCTCTGTACGTACCTTGCTCTCAGATCTGCTGAGGCTGGTGTTTCAAGAGGCCCTGTTCCCTGTTTGAGATGGATGGTTTAAGAGCTGTTAAGAGATATGCCACCCACTTTGGATTTCTCACCAAGGATTTAGGAGGCCTGGTCTGTTGTTATTATTTTGCTTCTGAATATCAAGCTGGATTGCTTTTCTCATAAAATTGGCTGCATTCTGTTTCCACAGTGCAGCACAAAGAGGGTTGTAAGAGCTGAATCTAGACTTGTATGGAGGGTTAAGCAGTTCTGCAGAAGAAGACGAAATGCTGCTTCTGAGTACTGTATGTTGGAGTTTTGGCAGTCTCACATGCTGCCTCTAGTAGATGTAACTAAGAGGGACCTTTCTGGGATGGGGTGACTGTCAATCACTAATAGCATTAGCCAACAATTCCTTCCTTGCCTCTGATTCAAAGAGAGCCACACCTCTCTGCTAAGCATTTCCCTCCTCGTTTTAGTTTGTTGCAATTAGTAGTCTGTTAGAAGTCAGTGAGTCTGTTAAAGCATGTTGCTTGAAGTAGTCAGTCATGTTTTGTTATGCATCTGTCCACAATTGTAAGTAAATTATTTCCCCCCTGTTGCTAACGTCTCAGAGTAAGTTATTGAGACTGAAAGTGCCAGTTGATGAAAAAAGGGGTGGATTAAACTGGGAAATAGAAAGCCAATTCTGATCCATCAATTCCTGCACTTCTGCTGCACAGCTAAAGGGTTTTAAACAAAATCCAAATCTCTGTATCACTTTATACCCAGAAAACTCTGGCAAGGGTGTCTATAATTTGGAAGTGACTTCACAGCATCATCATCATCATCATGATCATGAAGAAGAAGGAGAAAGTTGGACTTTGGGGCCAGGCGCTGCCCACACTCTGCTGCATAACACAATACTCTAAGTGCCCTTTCTTCACAACTGGAAAACTGGGCTAGAGCTTCACACAATTTAGGACTAGGGAGAAATGTCTCCAGAGCAGTGGCTTCCACACAGCATCACCATCACCCCTGGCAAAATGGTCTGTTGCACCATAAGAAGTAAAGAGCACTGAAAATGATCTCCTGAGTTCTAGCCCCAGAGTCTATCCACTGCACCTCACTGGCCCTCCCACACCTAACCCTAAGCTAATAGTTTGAAGCTTTGGTTCTGTGCCTTAAAATGGGAGAGCCGACATGGATGACAAACATGGATAGCTATGTGCATTCTAGACGTGGCAAACCGCTTTCCAGACATTGTGAGGTGAGGATGATTCCAAAGAGAGACAGACTGATCCCCAATTGTAATTTTAAAACCTCAGGACAAAAGGAAGCTGTACCACGATCTTCAAAACTCTTCCCTCTGTGTCACTCGGTTGTTCAGTTCAAGTCCTTGAGTCATTTTATACCAGATCCCAGATCCAGCTGACAGAGATGGTATCAGGTGTCGGAATAAATGAGTGGTTTCTTTATGACCTGTGTCTATAGACTTCACATCCATATCATCAAAATTTCCTCTCTCTTTTCCCAACAGAAGATTTAAAAACATAGATATATAGCACAATGCGCATTTAAACAGTAAACATAAAGGATCTCTAATCGTCGAACAATAAACAAGGATAATCTAAATGCAAAAAAGAAAAAAGCCTAAGGCTCAACATAGAAGCAATCTTGTATATTTGAATAATTCTTCTGATGAGATCCTATTCATGACATCCCATTTTTCATTCATTGTCTGTTCCTTTACTGTGGGATTTTTACTTTCCACCAAATTTTGACTGGGAAATTGCATTTTGCCTTGGACTTTTTAATATTTGCACTCTGTTTCTCCACAGTTGTGTGGTTTCCACATACATCATTAACCCTGACTAGTGATTGCTACAAGTTATAAACTGTCAACACTGTGACATGAGCCCATTACCTTATGCAATATAGTGTACCATCCTCATAATGAAATTTTAGCACTTTATAACATCAATACAGTTTATGTGCTATAAATTGTGTGTAAAATGCAGTCATATACACTTACATTCATATAAAATACACAAGTGTCTGTTTTGATTTATTTAATGTTTCAGGAAGCTGGCAGAGAAATGTTATCGAAATGTTTGCCATGACAATAGAGGTTAGATGGCGAGATAGATACCGTAGTTCATTTTAGAGTATTAAAGTCAGGGCAAGATAATGTGCAGGTTTCAAATAATAAGAGATGCAACCCTGAATAATTAAAAAGAGACCTTTTAAAACGAACAGTACAAATCAGACTTGGGAACAGCAATGGATAAGATAGAGACTGAAATAAAAGAGTTTAAAATTGCTTCTGCAGTTCATAATGATGATAATAATGATGGAGTCACAAAAGTTCTAAGGGCACTTTAAGACATAAGTGAGGGGATATGGGTGATAAAGCCACACTCCTTGCCACCTGCCAGCATAATAGTACCTTCATTGAATGAACAAGTCTCATGTTGGTGCAAACCCCCCTTTAAGTAACCAGTCTCCAAACAATTGAGGCTAAAACAGGAACTTCAGATTAGTCCTGGAAATAAACAAACAAATGCATGCAATCAGCATAGAATGGATGGAATATGTGCCATTTCATTAATAAGGACAAGTATCTTTGTTACCTTATGGGAATACCAAAGAGAGCTTTTTAAAAAAAACTTATTTGAAGGCAGACCCACAGATAACTTGTTGCAGTAATCCAGATTGCTGCTTCATTGAAGACCTCACCTCCTGTCAGTAGGACGTGGAAGAAATACCTAGCGGGGGATTCTGGGAGATCTGAAACAATCACTTTCCAAAGCTCTGAGAGGAGAAGCATACGCACTTTGGGGGGAAGATGGGGTGGGGGAGGACATTCTATGCGTTGACTTATCTTGTATCATCACATTGATTGATTGATTGATTGATTGATTGATTGATTGATTGATTGATTGATTGATTGATTGATTGATTGATTTGATTTATTTGATTTATATCCCGCCCATCTGGTAAATCGGTATCACTCTGAGCGGCTAACACAGAAAAGTATACAATTATAATAACATAAATCCAAAATATCGATTAACAGAACATAATAAAATCATAAATAATAAATAGAAAAGGAAGAGAAAAATAATTTTAATTATCTTAGATGCTGGCAGGAGGGAAGGTCTTGACATAAAGCCATGTATTTAATTGAGTTTTGAATGTGCCCAGCGAAGGGGCCGCGCGAATCTCAGGAGGGAGATTGTTCCAAAGGCGAGGAGCCACCGCCGAGAAGGCCCGGTTTCTTGTCTTCTCCCTCCGGGCCTCCCTCGGTGTCAGGCTCCTCAGCCTCACCTCCTGGCTCGCGCGGGTGGCTCGGGTAGAACTTGGTGGGTGAAGGCGTTCCGCCAAGTATCGAGGTCCCAAACCGTTTAGGGCCTTTTATCGCCTTCAGAAGACCATGAGGAATATAGGGAATTGTTTTACAGAGAAAAATGCCATGAGTGTGTCCAATTCAAAATTGCCTAAATTAACTACCCTAGACCAATTTAGAAAGCTGTGACTTGAATAGAGCAGTAACCCCTGGTTGCCCCTTAGGGATGGAATATTAGTGTGTTGTATGTTTTGTGCTGTCATGTTGGAACCAACTGACAGTGAGCCTAAAAGGGCTTTCAAGATAAGTGAGATATTTAAGGAGAGGCTTTACCAGTTCCATTCTCCCAGTGATTTTCCATGGTTGAGCCGGGATTTGAACCCTGTTCTCCAGAGTCCTAGTCGGTCTATCTGCCCACTACACCACGCTAGGAATATGCAGTAGGCCCAGTTATTTCTACATTCCAAAAGTGCTAATAAGTATAGTAAGTAAAATATCTGCCCCCAGATTGACTATCTTGACAGAACAGAACACACAACTAACACATAACATACACTAATATAGTTTTAGTACTTGAAGCAAAAGTCTTTCAGCATCTTAAAGACAAGCAACTTTTATTTGGTATTAGCCATTGTACACCAGCCATTCTCATTTGGGGGCCCTGAAACCTTTGAAGGGCGCTATAGATTGGAAACAAGTAT